GTGAGCTGGACCTGACTGATGACTGCGGGTGGGCTTTGGTGTAGGATTAGCACAGCCACCTCCACTAACAGCACTCAGTGGTGAGGAAAATGAGGGCAACAGGTCCATTTGCTGTGCTATGGGTTCTGGGAAGTCATGGTGCTGAGGCTGCACCGGGAGGTGACATTTGAGCCCAAATCCCAGTAGGAAGAGTCAGGAGGGAAGAGGACCCCAGTAGAATGGGGGTGGCAAGTGCTGAGTTACTGCTGGGCAAGGAAGCATGGGTCTTCAAAGGAGACGAGGACGGGGAGGGCAGCATGTGCCCTGGCCTGCCGGCTGCTGTCTAGCCTTTGCCACTCTGCTGTGTGGGTCCAGCACACTTCTGTGTTTCTGGTTCTTCAGCTGGACAGCAGCACCAATTATTTACTGTGCCCATTACATTTACATTCTGTCACAACTAAGGACAGAAGCAGTTGAGAGTATCAGGCTCATGGATTGGAAGGGAGCAAGGTGGGAGGAGCTTGTCAGAGCTGTTCGTGGGGACTGCCGTTCCAGAGCCATTCAGATAGACTTGACTTAGTCATGATTTTCTTATTACAACACCCAAACCGCCTCCCCCACCCGCCAACGAAACAGAACACTTCTAGACCTGACATGTTACTGTCCTGCCTCAGAGCTGGACACACGTGCTGATTCCGTGGGAGGCCCGTTCGTGTGTCTTCTGGGGAGGGAGGTCCCCGCCCACAATAGAGAAGGGGATCCAGAAATACCAGATCCCAAAGTACAGAACCTGTTCAAACACAGCCTGCGGTCCATGGCCAAGCCTTTCACGTCTGGATTCCTGCCTAGATCACACACTGCCTGTGCGCACTGCCCCAGTGCAGCCCCTGCTGGAGGCAGACACCACCATGGGGGGTCCACCCCATCTCACCTAGTGAAGAGTAACAAAATGGTCTTACCAAGTAAGTACAGGAAGGCAGAGGAGGACAGGGTCTTCATTGAAAGGTGCAAGGTGTGTGACGTGTGGGAGCCTGAGAGGTGCCAGCCTTCAGACCACGCCTTCCCCAGCCAGCGTCCTGCCATCTGGAGGAGAGGCCAGCAGGAGCTGAATGAACCTCACTAGCTGGCTGGGCTTAGGGCCCGGATGAGCCACCCTAGTGCTTTTCCCCTGGACCTGATGGCACAGTGGTTACGCACTGGGCGGCTAACAGAAGCCAGCAGTTTCAACCCCCAAGCCCAGCCCAGCCCCTCTGTGGAATAAAGGCCAGGAAACCGCCTGAGGGCCCTTCTCTAGGCCGTGGCCTTCATGGAGTCTTAATGTGGGGGGAAGGGGAGCAGGGCCAGGCTTTCTTCCTGTGGTGCCTTCTCTGTGACCACATTCTCCATGTTTCCCATCTTGATGGCATCCTGTCTTCTGCCTCAGTATCTCCTGGCCAAGCACCCATAACGGTCACTTTGATGGCTACCTCAGCTTGGTCCTCCAGAATGGATACATCTGTCCTTGTACGCTCTGTGACTGTTGCTTGGTGCAGTGACTGGGCTGGACACGGCGGTCCCTCATCAGTCCCTTCTCTCCAGGGTGTCCTGAGCAGACAGCACATGGCCGTGCGCTCTTGGGTGGGAGCCCGGCGTGACCACCGGGGCTGGCACTGGACTGATGGGGCACCCCTGCCACCGCAGCTGTGAGTAAGGGAGGGGAGATGAGCTGAGGAGGCAGGGCCCAGGCTAACTGTGGGCCTGCTTGACAGCAGGGAGGTGTGGGGCCTTCTCCCTGAGAGTGTTTCCCTGCATCCCAACAACATGGGAACTCATGTGAGCCTTTCCCTCTTGCACCCCCAGCATCATCTCCTATCTCCCCCAGGCTCCTGGAGGACCCAGAGCAGCCGGAGCTGAGCTGTGGGGGCCTGGAGGAAGGCCAGTTGGTGGCCCTGGACTGCAACAGGCCCCGACCTTGGGTCTGTGCCCTGAACGCTGAATGACTGGAGGTTGCCTTGACCATGGGTTCCCTCCCATTGGGTACAAAGCCTGTACAGACTTGTGAGTTCAGGAAGGAAACCGGGGGACCGTCCACAGGCGGGGGCAGTCTAAAGGGCCTTTCCCCAGCATGGCCCTTGGAGGGGCCCAGGAAGCCACATGTCCACCAGAGGAAGCTGTGGGGCCAGTTCAGAGCCCCACAGGTGGGATGGAAGGTGATGCCCTGTCCAGAGCCAGGCCTTGGGGCAGCTAGTAGAGCTTACCCATCACCATGCCCCATGGCTGCTTAACGCTGGCCCCTATGGTCCTGCCTCACCACTGGGTACTCCAGAGATGGTCCATGTGAGGTAGGTCTCTGAGGTCCCTGTACTGTGTGTCACATTTTACTGGTCTAATAAAATGTTTTTATTAAACTTTGGTGGCCTAGTGGTAAGAAAGTACACAGACAGTGCAAAAGTACAGTTCAAATCCACCAGCTGCTGGGAGAAGATGGGCAATCTACCACCTCCAAAAAGCCACTGGAAGAGGGTCTGCTATAGTCCCAATTCTGGTGCACAAGTCCCAGCCATGCAGCCTGGTGTCACGGAGAGGTGCAAGAAGGAATTTTGGGCCAAATCCTGTGGTGACCAGGGAAGCTCTGGGTTTATGGGAAAGCAGTGTCTTTGGCCTAAGTGTATGGTCTCATGCCTGTTAAGTAGCTGGTGCTCAGCCACCATCTAGTGCCATCAACTGTTCTCCCCTCTCCGGGGCTCAGGGCAGCCCTGGCTGAAGGCTCAAAAAGAAATACCCAACACACTTGATGGATAATAAACAGCTTTCTGACTGGTGGGACATCTGTCAGGAGTCACATCTGGCTGTGCTCCCAGGCACAACAAGTCCTAAAAATGGGTAGTAAACCAGCCAGGAAGAGCACATGCTGACTCCACTGCCTGAGCGTGCGTGAAGTCCTTCGTGGTCGTGTCCACTGACCAACCCGAGCAGGAATGTTCCATCTGTTAAACCCACGGCTGGGTGTGCGTATGCCTCAGTGGAAGGTGGAAAGCCACCCACTGACCACGTGGCCCGCAGGCCAAGGTCTTACTGGCGCAGCGGCAACGTCTCCTAGCAGCTCTGACCCGAGTAAGCGTCCTGCGTGCCTGAGCTGCATCAGGTGGCCAGAAGCCCAACAGGACTGTTCCTGGGGCACTCCTTTACTCCACATAGGGGTTAGTGGGCTCAGCAAAGATTAGGTGGTCAGCCTCAGAAAAAGAAGCCAGACAATCTCCAGAAATGGAAAGAAATAACTGCAGTTACTGGTGTTAAAAACTAGCATCAAGAGCAGATAACCATTGAGAAGCACTTGAAGCAACAAGTGAATTGGAAGGTAATTTGGAGCAAACACCCAGGAGCACATTCTGACGTACGATGCACACACACACTACCACCGAGCCAGTCGACCCTCAACGATCATCTCTCGGGGTTCCAGGCCTATAAACGGCAACAGGAGGCAGCTGCCCATTACTCTGAGGAGCTGCTGGGATCTGAACCGCTGGCGATGTGCTGCCTTGGGTTAGTGGCACAGCTTGCTGTGGACGTGCTCCCCGCTGACCCTCTCCAGCAGGTTCCTGAAGCAAAATCCCACGGGATCTGTGGGAGAGTAGCTGGTGGATTCAAACCTGCCTTTGGGTTGGCAGAACAACTCCCTACCAACTAGGCCACCAGAGCTCCGTTAGGAGGCACAAGCACCCCAAAACTGCCTCTGAGTTAGCAAAGTTAACTCATACGGACTGTGCCACCTGAGCTCAAGTGTATTAAGAGAGGTGGGAAACACCTAGTAAGAAAGAGGAGAATGTACTTCTCAGAAATAGAAAGATCAGAACAAACAGGAAATACGACGACAAAGTCAAGTGGGAGTCTTGGGGATGGGAAGGGGCCCCAGGCTGTTCCTGGTGCTGGAGAATTGCTTCTGGTGAAGCCAGGTACATACATGTGAAAAATGAACAAAAGAGGAAGTGTAGGGGGAGAATTTTCTTGGTCGTCTTTCCTTGCAAATCTGGTGGCCTAGGGGCTAAGGAGTTGTGCTGCCAACCCAAAGGAATAGTTTGACTCCACCAGCTGCTTCATGGGAGAGAGATGGGCCATCTCCGGGAGGATCAGCTGTGTGGGTTCTGACCTGACAGAGCAGACCTCCTCAGGGAAGATGACAGTCCTGACTGGGGTAGGTAGGCACTCTGCTGTTAGGTGGCAGGCTGGCGGTTTCAATCTCTGGCAGGCTCCAGAGAAAAGACCTGGGAATACGCTCCAGACGGTTTACAGCCTCAAAAACCACCCTGGAGTTTCCTACCCACCAGACAGGGTCTCTGTCTCACAATCACCCTTCACAGCACTCAACATGAAAAAGACTTACTTGATTCATAGGCACTGCTGTACTGTTTCTAGTGCTGCTACCCTGTCACAGCCACAGCAGACGAGGACCGGACCTCCAGAGAAAACGGGTCCTTGTGTTGTGCTGAGACCAGCGGATCCACACAGAAGAGCTGTGCACCCACCGGAGGTGGGAATGAGTGCTGACACCATAACCTGTAAATCTAGAGAACCCGAGAGAAAAAACCCTACTATGTGATGATGACAGTGCCTGCGAGGAGAATAAACTCCTACCTCTTTAATAAGGGCCTTTGATTCCTAATGGTTGACAGACTGGCTGACAGGGATGTGGAGGCAAGAACTCCTGTCATACGAGTGGTTCAGACTTGTAAAGGTGCATTCAGCGATCTCTCCCAGTGCACCTGTATGCCTAATTAACGGAAGGTCTTCTGCTGTATTTGTGCAATTTACAGCATTTAATTCAAGAGCATGAATAGTCCATTTCTCTCCATTTTGTTTATACTGATTATAGAGAGAAGTTTCTTATAAAATTAGAAATGCTCACAGCAAATAAATAGCTCTAGCCAACTCACTGGACAAATTACAGCTTACTAATGGTTGTGGTGATCGTTTCTTTCAATTTATTATTATTATTATTTTACAATAAGGATGTAGCCTTTGTACTTCACACACAAAACAAGTGCTTAAGAAATTAGAGAGTCCCTGCCCCCCACCCCCAACATCCTGAACAGAGCAATTCAATACAACAGAAAAATCAGAACAGGTTTGATTCCAAAGTTTCAGTAAAAAAAGCATTAAGTATGTAATGCAACAGCCTTTCCACTTCAATTCTCAGTAGGCACCGTGAACAAAAAAGGAAGCCACTGCTGCGTTCACTGCCCTGGCACCCAGTCCCCAAGGCGGGCTCTGACCTGCCAGCAGCTAGTCATCACTCCTAGGAACAGAAGGTCTATTGCTTTCCCTCCCCTGACTCACAGCTGGAGGGCTCTGGGGGGATAGAAAGAAGTAAAAGAAAAATTCCCAAAGCTACTATATGGATGGGAAGGAAGACAGTAATTTACAAATGTTAAAAAAAAAAGAAAAACCAAGGCAAGTAACACAATTCATTCACTATCACTCCTACTAGAAAGAATAAATCAGAGATTGTGTCTTATTCTAGAAAACTGTGAACAGAGAACCTTTCAGAATTGATTGGCAGGGTCACCAGAAACAAAAGATGTTGTTTTCAGCTTCCTCAAGGAAAACAGACCACAGCGGTCTCCCCAGGCAGGGCTGGTGTCTGGCTTGCCTACTGTGCACCTCAAACAGCTGTAAACGCAACACCAGGCTGTAACTCAGAGGAAGAGCGAGGACCAAGGGTGCCTGCTGCTAGATCTCCCCTGCTTCTCGCTCTTCGGAGCTCCTCCTGTCTTCTGACCTGCCGTTGGCGCTCTCACAGGCCTGCTTCTTAGCTTTCTGGTCTCTGTCACGAGGTGATCGGTCTCTTGAACGCTTGTCTCTGTCACGTGATGTTATGTCTTGGTCTCTGAATCTTTCTTTTGAGGATCTGAAAAATATTAATTTGAGGAGCAAAATATGTTGGGAAACCCAAAAGCCAAATGAAGGAAGAAAAATACCAAGCTACAGATAACAAAGGAAATACAAATACAGTTCTGCCAGAGTGAAGATGCCTGCTTCTTGGGGGCACCCCTGATCTGCTAAGGACACAAGGCGATCTTATGTGGTCAAGGGTCAAAGCAAAAGCTAAACCAACCATCTAGCTACAGAGCACTCTCTGATGACCTCGAGGCAATGCCACCAAAGATGCTTCCAATTTATTTATCAAAACTTAAGATGGCCAATCTCCTCGTGCGCAATTTATAGCCTCTAAAGACCGGATGGAGGGTCAGTTAGGAGTCAGTTCCAACCTGACAGCACGTAATAACAACAAATACGTAACTAGAATGCAGATTCAACTAGCTAAACAGTGAAATTTTTTTCAGCATTTGGTCACATTTCAGTTTCAGAGTTTTCTTTTTGATACCTCTTTAAAATATACAAAATTATCAACTGTTGGCTAATTGTACAAAAATAGGCCATATAAGGCCTGAAAGCAATATTCTAAAAAGATAACTGCTTTCTTCCTTATATGCCTTTCAATACCACTTACTCGTTCTCCTGAGTGAGTTTACTCGGCTGACAAAGCCAGAGGTGATCAGATAGTAATAAATGCTGATCGCCGGCAGTGACAGCCTGCTCCCATAGGAACACCCAGCACCCCAGCACCCACTCTCTAGCTGGTCTGCAGGAAAAACCCTGCACATAATGGGATCAGAATAAATAGGAAATTTATACATTCAACATCAATCCAATCAGCAGTGTGGCTCTTTTACATGTGACAGTGCACTTTCTTGTAATTAGGGCCTTAAGGCTGGTTCCCACTTGGGATCAGAGGCACTGCCCAGAATGTGAGAGAACAAGTAATCCTTTTCAATTTCTGAGACTGAAAAATAACACCATATACCTACTTTTAAAAACATAAGGACAGTTAAAATCCAGAAGATGTAAAGTTTAAATACTACTACACATCCTCTCTTAAATAAGGTTTTATTATACTTAATTTTAAAATGTTTAAAAAGAAAACCAAGTGATGCAGATGTCACATTAGTCCTGAGCACTCGTGTCAAGGGAAAACATGAAGAGAACAAGAGAGATGGTACCTAAGAAGAAGACACTAGCTGCTGGGAGTCCCGGAAGGTCAGTAACAGTAACTGAAAAACACGAGACGAGCATCAACTAGCGTTCTGAGATGAAACGTTCCGCACGGCAGCCAGGCAGTTTGCAGGCATTACTTCACACCAACTCCCCGATCCTAATGGGGGATAGGACTCTTCCTAGCTCTACTCAATAGACGGGAAAGAGAGGGGCGATCATTAAACGGCCGAGACCACTGAACCCGAGGAGTCCGGCCGTGGAGCCTGCTCTTCCCACGCGGACAGAGCAGGAGGCCCAGGTGCGCCTCAGTGCTGGGAACGGCTCCAAGGAGGGTCCACTGGCCTCACGCCAATAGGTGAGGGGTCAGAGCAGAACAACAAAACATGAAAAGCTTAACTAGAACTTTCTCTTAAAGAATTAAACCCAAATAGTGGTGCAATAATGTGGTTTCATCGCCTGTGTACTAAAATACAGATTAAAATAGCAGTGTCTAATTTCTGATAAAAACAAACAATGATGCTTTAAGAGTATTTTCAGTATAAAAACTCAGAAGTGCTCTTGAGAAAAACACAACTTTAATGGTTTTACAAAAATAATCCTTTTGATGAGCACGCGGAAACATCCAATGTGAAGCATTTCCTGTGAGACTTCATTAATTCGGGTTTAAAACCATACAATCACAGACGATGAGGGGGCATTAGCTCCACCCTCTCATCCCCATCCCACTGAAGACAGTTGAAAATTCAGATCAGGAACGACGACAGCTAGGCTCTTAGAACTCTCTAGATGCCCATCACCTCCTCAATAAAAGTGTGCACGCAATACTGACAGAATTTCCAGAAAACGAGTTTTTCAGGCATTAAGGGCTGTCCCCTTCTCTGCAGATGTTAGGAGCTTGAGACAGTGATGTAGAAATCACACGCAGACTGGCTATCAGTGCCCTGCTGCTAGTCATGGCCCGTCTGCTTCTTACTGCCACTTAACTCAAGTGAATTTCAGTCAGTTTCCTTATTACCTGAAGCCATTTTTGGGATTTACTCTGCAGTAAGCATGGTCATGCACCTCCTACCCCTGGTGGGGACGCATGTCTGTTCTACTTCCCAAGGGGAGTGCCGAGAGCAGCCTCACCTGGTCTAGTACAGTAGAAGGCACACAGTTCTTCCCGATCAGTCATCTCACAGACCATTTAGAACAAGACTTTAAGATATAGACTAAATAGTAACAAATTCAGCTTATGAGTGATTTCTGGGAGTTAGGAAACAACCCAAACCAAAAATCTCCAGCAACCTCAGAACTTCAAACTGCTTTCTGTGGATTCAACCATGGGCTTTATGTGGGTAACATACAGAAATTTAAGTCTAGAAGATATTAGGCACTCAAAAATGGTCTCTCATAACCATGTGTATCAGTGGTGAATACTTCAAGCTCAGTTTTGGTACAGGTCACAGAAATTACCTGGCTTGAGGGCTACCATGTGATAGATCTGTGTGACAGATACAGGCTCTGTCCCAAGGACCTCCTCTACATCCTGAGTCCTTACACTTCACCTGGGGGTGTGGCCATGGACTCCCTGGCTTCTCCTCAAGCTAAAGGGGTCTTGTGGCTCCTGAAGATTCGGACTCTGTTCTGCCAAGCTAAAGGTACAGAACAATGCATACCCAGAATGCATTTAAATAGGAATATATGGGGATGTGTCTACTATGAAAAAGTACACAAGCTCAAGTGAGTTTGGAAAAAAGAAATCAAACAAAGTGAGACAACTTTTTGAACAAAGACTTCTCAAAATCCTTACTTTGCTAATGCATATTGTAAAAAAATCCTCTAAGAGTAATGGAATCTAGTATTTACTCTCCCCACCCCCTCCAACCCCCGGAAGCAGGAAAAAGCAACAGTCTCTGGACATAGTAATCCTAATTTCTTATTTTGGTTAACAACTATGCAGTCGGGAAGAAAACCATTACATATTCACACACAAATGTATACATGTTACCAGATCCAAGTTTTAAATCATTATTACTCTTGCCCTAAGGAAAGAGGTAGTGCCCCATCCTCTCCGTGATACATCAATACCTCCTCTTGGAGCGCTCTCTGCTCCTATCTCTAGAACTATGCCGGCTCCTCTGGTGGCTGCGGCTGCGACTGCGGCTGCTGGAGCGAGACCTGTGGCGGTGGCGTTTCTCACGAGATTTGGACCGAGTTCTTCTCTTCCGTTCTCGTGACATGGAGCGAGAACGATGTCTGCGATGCTCTCTGGACCGGGATCTACAAAGAGAAGTTTTGATCTAGATGAATACAAGGATACAGTTTTCAAACTTCTTAAAGACACATTATCTATCAGCAGTCCTATTTCAGAAGATATGGGCATTAGCTGGTGATCCTTATGTTCTTGTTGCTTTAAGACCCTGAAGCCCTATTGTTCTGATACCATTCTCTCTTCCTGCCCTTTCCTTCCCGATGACAGCCAAGTACCATGAAGAGCTCTGAGATGGTCACATGCACCTCAGCTTTCTCAAAGTCAGGGAAGCCCAGGCTGTTCTATCCCCCAAAACAAGTCCAGGCTTTGGCCCAACAGTCCCAAAGCACAATTCCTCTGTAAGTATAGGTTCTGGTTTCAGTTCAGCAGTCAAATGCAGCAAGGTTTGCCTCAGAGCGCTTGTACGTCAACTTCTTTAAAAATCTGGCAAGAACAGCCAAACCTTTACCTTTGTTTAGACAAATGCAACAAACAAGCCTCTGGTTATTGACACTGTTTCTCTGCAGCAATGCCAGTCACTCCACCACCAGCGTCTCACTCTAATCACAAGCCTTATTGCCAGTGTGGGGAGCCCTCTTATTATCTTAGCCCCACACATGTTGATGATTTGCAAGAACATGTATCTGCAGTGAAGGTAGCTGGAGACCAAAGGCTAAATGGCTTTTAAAAAAGCCAACTTTGAGGCTATTACCACAGTAATTTAGAGCCTTCACAGAAAAGAAAGAAGAAATAAAGATAAAAATAACAATTTCCCCCCAAATGAAACGTGGTTTTCTTGAGAGCCAAACAAGAGGAATATGCTGTTTAGGCTCCACCTTTTAGAGTGCCCCTTCCCTGGGGTGCAGCCCCTCACAAAGGGTGCTAACCTCGTGGTTTTTTTTCCCCTTTCAGATAACTGCATATACTTTTGCAATGACAACTTCCATCTAGAAGCCCTAGAACGCTAATTCAAACATATTCTGCTCTTCAATACACAGGTTGCCAAAGCTCACTCAACTGATGATAACAGCTAGTCCCCTGGTCAGTGGAAGCCAGAGGGGCCAACCCTGCACACAGCCAGTTTTTCTGGGTAATACAATTAAGAGATCACTATGAATAAGAAATAAAAGTAAAACCTGTGTGGCATCCCTATCTATCCTAACGTATGAGTTAAGAAAAGAGCTGACACGACAATGCTATTAACTTTAGTTGTCATTAGAGTAAATATGACTCAGAAGAGCCTACAGACATTTTAAAAATCATGATTTTACCAATTAATGAATACATTTCTTATGGTGATGACTTCTTGAATTGAGGCATTAAAGAATCAGCCAGACAGACAGAGACCTATTAACCAGCACAAAGTAGGTAAAAACAGTTGCTTTCCAGCCTGGTGTAAATCCAGGTTGTTATGGTGAAGAGGGGCTTGGATGACAAACTTTGCTGCCAGCCTCATAGGAAGCACTTAAGTCACTCTCACATTCTGCAGGAAGCTGCAGAATTCAATGGTCACCAGTCAACACTTTTTAAAAAAGATGCATGGAAACTTTAAACAGAAAAAGTCACACCTCCTGGATTCCTTACTGCTACTGTGCACATTATAAGCGAGAGAAGGTGAAGTTATTAGTCCACCCTAACTGAGATAGTCTGGGAGACAAGAGGACGCCGCTCCAGGGCTTCCCAGGCTGTCATCTGTGCAGGAGCAGACTGCCAGGTCTTTTCTTCATGGAGCAGTAGGTGGGCTTGAAACAGCAGGGCTGCCCACCCCTAGAAGATTTGGTAATGTCTAAAATTTATTATCCATCACCTCCAAACTCTTTCTTGACTTGAGACAATGCACACCTAAGGCTGAGTTCCTCCACGCACCATACTTACCTCCTCAGTTTCTCTCGTTCTTCTCTCTCTCTTTCTTCTCTGCGTTTCAGACGTTCCTGATTTCTCTTCTCCTGCTTCTCAGCCACAACTCTCTGAAAAAACAAAGGTGATTTGTTCTCCCATTAGGGAGAAGGTAAGCTTCCTGGCACTGGTTTGTTTTATTAAATTTTATACTGGTTTGCTCACAAAAGTTGGTACACATTGTGTTTCACACTATCCTTCTTTCATAATGTTTCACACAATCATTCCTATATATTATGTTTTATAAAATCAATCACCAGTGGACCTTGCCCATCATTACCCAATCTTTTCAGGTCCCTTTCAGATCCTTTCCATTTCCTTCACCGTCCCCTCCCTTCACCCACCAAACCATGCAACCCCTTGGCTTTTACCCCTACCCATTCTCACCCCTCTGCTCCCACCCTTTCCTGCATTGGGTCCACATAAATGTTTTACTAGTTATCCTTTAAGTTTTTCAATAATGGTCCTATGCAGTATTTGTCACTATGAGACCGAGTTCATTCAGCATCATGCTCTCTAGTCTCTCCCAAGCTATGTAGTATTTTCCTTGAGTTGGTGCTTAGTATTCCACTGTGTGACTATACCACAATTTCCCAATCCATTCCATTTTGGTTGGACATACAAGCTGTTTCCTTGTTCTGGCAATGATGATTAACGGTGCTATGAACACTGGTGTAAAAACCTGGCACTATTCTTGATGAGCCCTGTGCTACAGCTCACCATGTCTGCTTTCCAACACTGCACACAATTATCAAGATCTGCTTAGTGAAGAAGTCAATGTGAAACTGTTCTGAGTATAATCATTTTATGTTGCTGATTCCAAAATTTGTCCCCTTTTGGAGGAAATACATGCAACTTTTTCTATGGCTTCTTAATGACATTTGAAATCATCTTGACCCAATGTTTCTCCTTCAGTAATTCCAAGTACTATTTTGTCTTTTTAAAAGAACAATGAATGCCTAGATTTTTGGGGCAGAAATGCCTCTGCACCCCCGACACACACACACCCACCCCATTTACTACCTTGGCGGCTTTCACAAATGCTAGCCTGAAATCACCCCCAAGCAGGGACCTTTTCTGAATTTTAGCCTGGAAGCCAATAGCCATTTACTAAATTGAAATGCACGTTGCAGTTTTAAAAGTTACTTGAAAGGATAAGCAGTTACATGTGTGTGGCTATGAGTGGTGGAAAATACGGGGTGAAGAGTTTGGTGGGTAGAGGGAGCAAGTGAGGAGAAAAAAAAAATTAACCCAAACAAAAACCCCACAATGTACATGAATGAATTAAAAAAAGGGGGGAAAGAAAAACCCCTAAACCCAAAACAATCCCCTCCACCCCCAATTAATCCTCCTTAAGATCACCAGGGTACCAAGGGCCTGGGACGCTTAAGAGCTCAAAGTTCATTTGAAGCATGATGACTTCCTGGGGTTTTCCTATTCCAAACTCTTTGAACTGACAGATGACCGCTCCAGGGGAATTTCACTAACAGCAAGACACTCTGTTCCCTAACTCTGAAATCATTCACAACACAACTCCATAGCACCACTGTTTGAAACAAGCAGCCTCACCATACTGTTAGAAGGTAAACATATGTTTATCCAGACTGCTTTGTGCTTATTTGTTCCAGGCCTTCAGACCCAACCGCCGTGCCACACCTGTCCTGGCTAAGTGTTCCCTCAATGCACTAAGTGGAAGAGTGAGGAGGGCTAGGCTGCCATTCTCAAAGTTAGGGTCTAAGTAGCAGTGGGTTTCTTATTTCTGTGAGCTTATCCTAAATGCTTTTTGAAATAGAGGCAGAAGCTACAAATTCTTGACATTCTCTATTTAGTGGGGAAATGCAACAGAGCACAAATAAATCTTTGATTATTTTCTCAATCTTCATATAAAGTTAAATAGGAACAAAATTATTATATTAACATTACTAAAAAGAAAGACAATACTTTGACTTATATGGGGTTTTGTATGACAGCATTAGTTTAGATCTCAATTTGAAAGACTTTTAACCCAGTGTCACAGCCACAATAATGATTAGTGTCTGAAGTGTGGTCCTTAGACACCATCCATTAAATGAGCTAGTATGTACAGTTATCAGCATGAACTGTTAACAGGGAATCAAATATAATAGCATCAGAAGCAGAAACACAGTCCAAAGAGACATTTACAACAGACCAAATCAACGAGCAGCTAAACTGGGCAAAGCAAGGAGTACAGATTTACTAACGTACCTTTAGTTCTTCAAGCTTCTCTCTTATTTCAATAAATCCCAGGTGCAGTTTGCCTCCAAAGTGATCAGCTAGTCTTCTGTCATTGTCGTGGAGTCCTAGATAAGCAGAGCAGACCTCACAGACGCGCAGCTTCTGCTGCTGGAAACTGGATGCCGGCATAGAATTCCGATAGACCTCCTAAACCAAAGAACAAAGGGAGAAAACACTGACTACACAAACTTCACCAGCAGTCACAAATAAAAAGCACTGGTCACCTGGTCATGCTGATCCAATCACCCTATCCCCTTAGTAAGAGGAAAATGCACCACCTCAAGCAGTGGGTTTGTGGATACTGATGTTAAAGACAGCTTTCTGAAAATGCTTTCTCAGGCTTCAAGGGAGCTTTACGTTCTATGACTTTTCTAAAGATGAGCAAAAGTGCCAAGCAAAACAGTGTTCTTCAGTGAGACTCCTCTGGACAAAGGCCGTCTCATATGTCCCTGTTCCATTCCTAATCACCTCACTCACGGATAATAAACTGGTGGGCATCCCACCTTTGTCCCCGTCATTTAAAAAAAAAAATTTAAATTTTTGAGGCAGCAACATGTCCAGCCACAAATATCACCTTTTCAAGTTTTTGCTTAGGTTTCTTAAGCAGAAATTGCTGATAGAATTTATAAGACCTTTTTTTTAGAAGTGAGCCAAAGGGTTCAGGAAAAACCTAAAATCACCAATGACCTGTCAATCATTTTATCAAGACAATGAGAAGATAAAATCATTACCATGGCTTCTGCAGTCACTAAAATGCTAGTAAGGAACACAGAACAACTTGATGCCAAATTAGACAATTTTTGGGAAAAGGCCAATGTCTAAAATTGACTCAAAATAAAATTCTGAATACAAATAGGTCTTGGATAAAGTCCAACCAGGGTGCACTAGAGAAACTTCAGCACATGTGTTTTGGAAGGGACAGTTCTTGGAAAAAAAAGACATCATGTTGCGACGGTCATCAAGAGAGACACTAGTCTACACTGTAATCCTGAAGGCGCATGGTTTGAATCCACCAGATGCTCCATTGGAGAAGGAGGGGCAATCTCCTCCTGTGCCAGTTGGATCTGATTCTATGGTACACGACGAGGAGAGGGGGAAGAGAGACTACTGTCAAAAGGATGAAGTGACACAGTCAGCCACTAAGAAAGGACTCAAGTATATCGATGATGAGGATGGCACAAGACAGGGCAGGTGACAATCTGCTTTTGACAGGGTCTCTATGGGTCAGGGTCAACTTGACAGCACCCAACCACCACAACCAATCAATCTTTAAACAAAGAAAAGTCCAATCACAGATTGTTTCAATGTTGTATTCTAAAAAAAATTAAAAATAAAAAATTAAAGTCAATCATAACCATAACATGCATACTCACATTCCTTTAGAAAACAGAACACTTCTCAAGTTGTTTTCGAAACCATCATTACTTTGACATCAAAACCAACCAAAGACACAAGTTAGTGAGAATATGTGGGAAATATAGTACTGTGAATATTCATTCTCTCCACCTGCTCCTTTCTGTGAAAGGAAAAATATTAGCACATACAAGCCCTTTCTCTTCCTCCACAAGCAGGGAACACTGTTTAGGAACATTAGCTGAGAGAAGCTGTTGTCTATTCCCACTCTGCCTCTCCAAAACACCAGCACTGATGGTCAGACAGGCAGATAAGAGAGGAGGGGAAATGGAAGAAGTACTAAGACTGCTCCCTCTACTCAGGCCTCCGTGGGCTGAACTGTGGCAATAGCTGATAAGGACATGAGAGGAGTAAAAGGACCAGTGCTTCCTCCACTCTTTTCCTTGGACTGTACACACAGATCCTGCCTCACCCAAAACACATCCATGAGGGAAGAGGCTGTCCCAAGCAGGAGACACTGCACAAGCTCAGCTCTCTGCAAGGCTATGCAGGGTCTCACCCAGAGGACTAGAGTGACAGCGAAGAATAGTGGGGACTCCTGCAAAGGGCACAGAGCACTGCCACCCAAAGGCGTTCACCTTGTTAAGAACATCACATGGGCCAAGCAAAGCAGGAAGCCACCTGTAGGAGACACGATTTCTGATCTGTGCTGCAGAGGAAGAGAGTGAAGGTTCTCTCCTGTTGTGCTAAGAGGCTGCACTGAGTATGAAAGGGGTCACATGATCGGGTCACACAGAGTCCAGCGAGGGGAGAACACCACAGTGACTATGTGTGTGCATATGGCTCATTTTAGTTCTTTTCCCAAATTTCACCTGAGGAAAAGCTCCCAAATACTCCTACATCTGGAACACAGCCCATGTGCAGGGACAGAGGCCTCTCAAGTAGCTCATGCCTATACTCTCCTAGTGCAGGGCTGAGTGGCATCTACCACCAGAGAGCACAATCACCTCAGCTTCCCTCTTCTTTGCCCTCGCTTTCTCGACTTCGTCCATCACTTTCTGGGATTCTTCCACATTCCCTTCAGCACCCAGCTGTTCCACCTTTGCTAGCAATTTACCGATTTCTTCATTTAACTCATGAACACGTTCAGCCTAGAAGAAAACACAAAGGAAGAACAAAAACAATGAATGTCACAGTTGAAAATAACGCACAACTGTTCAGACAAGTTTTCTAAACTGTGTGCGCGCAGTGTTTCTTAGATGCTAAAGACAGAAAGCCAACAGGTGTTCAGACCCTCAAGAGCCCAAGGAATTGCTCCTTTCCATCTCAACGAAGATAGCACGTACCACTGAAAACACAGCTTTCCTCAGAGATGTTCAACTCCATAATTACAACTCTACCTTAAACGGGACACAAGATAAAACCTGAAAGGCACTGCCCTGCCTGGGTGGGAGGATTCTGTACCTGACACAAGTCCATGCCACCACGCTAGCCTTCTGAAGGGCTCAATATCTTCCAGCTAACTCCAAGATGAGTGAGTCAGTCCAACTGGGACAGGAATAACTGTCTAATCAAATTCACCTCCAATCACTGACCTGCAGACCCACGGGATCTATCAGTATTTACTGCTCTGAACCACTAAGTTTGGAGAGAGCCCATTACACAATATTTCTGCAGGGATTGATACGCTGACAAATCTCTCCCCACTAGGTGTTGACTCTAACCCACATGTCCATATTATGGTTCTCATCTTCAGAGACCCTTTCAGAGGTTGGCTGAAAAAGTAACACCTTTCCCAAATAATGGAGGCCCTCTGTACATTGCCATCTAAACACTCTTATCTGAATGCTGCTACTATCAAACGATTCAGTAATTCTGTCTCAAAATTGAGATTTTTATGAGATACAGCTATGAAGAAATCACCAGCAAAGTAACTAGTGTAATCTATAGATTTTGTTTTGCTATTAATTACATCACATCAACTCAAAGGGGAAAAAACGAGCAGCTTCTGAAGATGAAATAATTCTGAGGAGTTACTGTTGGCTTTATGGATATGGTACTGCTGTTACAGAGGAGACACGAAACCTAGATTCTGCTTTTAAAATAAAAAACTGACAACTTTTGAAGCTCTGTGATGGATCTTACTCAATTTTTGTGTGAGATTAAGTTAATAATATTTTTTAAAAGTATAAATGACACCTGAAGCTCCACATCAAAACACACTTTCAGCTCTTCTGGAGACGCTGTGTAGAGGCATTCAAAATGGTCCAGTGTCTGACCTACAACAGAGCCTCTAACAAAACTAGGCTATCCTGAGCCCCTGGTATCAGAATTGTTTACCTTTATTCCAGGAAGGTTGGAAAAGCACCAAAATCTACATGTGGTGTGTGCCCAGGCCGACTAAGAAGGGTTCGTTCTGTAAGACCTAAAGATCTCATGAGGATGTTAAAAACAAAAACCACAACACAACCCACGTCAGCAGAGCTCATGGTGGTTCCACATGTGCTAAGTGTGTCTGTCCATGACAGGATTAACTGTGCTTTCCTTACTGAGGAGCTAAAAATTGTTGCGATGTAACAACTAAGTTTACCACCGCTTGCAGACCAACTGGACTGCAGTCTACATACATGCCTTCCTTGGCTCTCTTCCAGTAATTTTCTTAATTTTAAGGTTTTCTACAAGAGCAGATGCGTGTCTCTGCCAACCACACAATCCATGAACAACTCATATTATCAACTGAATACCAACCATTACTCTCTACTCTCACACCTGCCAACTCTGCTACCTAAAACCAAAAGCCTTTCCCCTCCTTTAGATCATCTTCCCCATCTAGCAGGAAGGAGATACAGAAGAGAACCTCACCAGCCCCAAGCAGGTAACAAAAGGCTGAAATGCTAGGGCTGCAGGGCTGCTCCCCATTCCTTTCCCAGAATACCCACTGAAATAATACAACCATAGGAAGCAACAGGTGTGGCTCTTTTTCTCTCAGTTAAGGATGTGAAACTGCTGTACCTCCATTTCCCTGGAATAGTTATGATACCTCAGCCTACTTCTCTATCTTATAAAAAACAACTGTGAACATCCCTTTCCCCAATTTCCTTGTAAGACAATATAACTTTAAGCTTCTCTCTACTTTGTAGTCAGCCAGGCAGTTTCTTTTCAATAAACTGTCTTTCCTGCCCTCCCCCCCGCAAAAGTTGTGGAAGTACTGAAGGCATAAGCACAAAGTCAGAAAGTTAAATAAAAAATGGCACAATTTTAATAAGATTATACGACTTGTTCTGTAAAATACAAACAAAAACCCAACCCCAACCAAACACAATTTCATGAGAAAAATAGATTTACCTAAATTTAAAAATAAAACTCAGAATTAAAAAAAGCTGGGAGCCAAAAAGACATTCTGTTCCAATAAAATGATTGACTGGCTTACTTTTGCTGCTACTTCAGCACTAATCTCTTCTTGAGTTTCTGCTAATCTTTTCTTTGCCACTTCTGTTCTTCTGTCACAATCTGCAATAAATGACTGCAGATGGTCCATGGCCTAAAAAAGATTCAAAGAAAGACAATTAGGAACTGTCTTATTCAGAAGTATTTTGTATTCAAAAGTTCTATTTTTAAAAAATGCTATCATGTTAAGAAATAACAGATGATGTTCAATTATGAATCCAAACTATTGTCACCTGGCAGACTGGCCAAAAAATGCCCCATGAATGTCAAGATTTTAAGGAAACTGCCACTTTTGTGCCCTTTCAATGTGTGAAGGCACAAAGTGATGTCTTCAATGTCATGGATATGACAGAATGCTACTGAACAAACTTGAAACAGTGTATGTCTTACTGTATACATTCTCAGTAACAATAAAGAGAAATAAAAGCAATGAAGTAACTAGCATCAAAAGTCTTTTAAAAGCCCCTGGCCCAGTAATTCTACTTCTAGACATTGAACTTCAGTAAGTAATCATAGCTATATGGAGGAGTTACTATTTAAAGATGCTCCCGGTGTTACTATTCTCACAGAGAGGAGTTGTAGGTACTCTAAATGTCTTTCCAACATGTTGATGCATAATCACTGAAAAACTTTAGTAGAATTCTTAATAACATAAGAAAATGTTCTTAGTTCTCGTGTATATAAAAATCAACTTGTAAAATAGTGCATGCAATAAGATTTCAATTTTGTAAACTAAAGCAGTACAGAAAGAAATTGAATAATACAAAATACTAATAATAATTATATTTGCATCATCTTTAAACAAGTACTTTTTTCAAATTTTCAAATTAAATGTTACAATCAGGAAAACTTACATTACTTTTCAAAGAATAAACCAGCCATGTTAATACATCTGTAATTAAATAATAATTCATTAAAAAGTACATTTAAAAATTTTCTCAAGTTAAGCAATATGGGCTCTCACATCTTAAATGTAAAGAAACACAGCTAAACCAAAATAGAAATATTTAATAAAAATATAAATTTATTCCACACATCAGAGTCTAAAAATGGTTGAATGAGTTAAAGAATTTCTTGAAAGTGGAAATAAGGACTATCTGAAAGCCTTTATAATAATGGGGGGGAGGGATGGGACACACTGAATTCCTTTAGCTGATCGCCCAGTGGTTAAATATTTGTCTGCTAACCAAAGGTTGCTTGTTCAAACCCACCCTGTGACTCCACCAGGACAGAGCTGACGAACCACTCTCATAAATATGACAACCTAGGAAATCTGATGGGGCAGTTCTAATCTATCCTATCCTATAGTATTATCAGGAACCAATACGGACTCAACAGTCGTACATAGTAACAATTTGAAATTTATAATATTTTAATTATTTGAATATCTATTAACATTTGTCTATGCTAACTTGACCTATTTTATGTCAAGTCATCAAAAAAGGGAGCTTTTGGGAAAAATAAATAAATTAAATTAAATAAACTAGGTCCCTGTCTCAATTCCCTGGACCAGAATAAATTAAAAGTGGATCAAATGTATAAAATATACTAGAAGAAACAACTAGTAGAAAATTCTTAACAATTCATTATTATGACGTTTGTACAAAAGAGAAAAATCTAATACAGTAAAGAAAATTTACATACATCAAGTTCAAAGAAAAAGTCTTGTTCTTTGGATGCAATTTCATAATCAGCTCTTAAAGCCAGGTCATGAACTTTCAGACATTCTCCAAGATCCATTCTCTGAGGGAGAAAAGGAAAAATATTAGAACAGAAAATATACTTTCAAAAAAATATATTTATAATTACAGTTCTCTCCAGAAAACATAGAGTAATAAAAGATGCTTCTTTAAAATGACACAATCTCACAGGCAAGTATAAGTAACACTTGGTGCCAGAGAAAAGCGGAGTCAATTCTGTCTACCAACAAATGAGAAATAGCAACCATTTTGTAGTTGAGAACAAAAGGGAAAAAAAAATTTTAAGCAGAGAACTCTGCACACTTCTTTATCATAACTTATCTCACTTGGTCCTATAACTCAAGAGATCAAAGAGGATACTTTACATTTTAAAATCAAGACTGTCTAAATGGAATTACTGAATTATGGTCAACATTCCCTGATGATATTCAAATGCAGATGTATTTGATATTCAGATACTGAGTGAACACCGGCACGAGGTCAATTCCACAGAGATTTAGTACAGAAACCTGTGCTTGATCACAGAGAACTTAGATCTAAGCACTGTCCCAGAGAAAACATTAGGGAAATCTCTCTCTCTCTCACACACACTCACTCGCTCTCTCTCTGATATGTGCCTCTCTATAGGAAATGTCCAATTAGACTGTTTACCAGAGTTTTTCACATCTCAGACAAAATCCTTATGATTTTACATGTATCATGAAAACAGTTAATATTGTTTATGAACTCCTTTGTAGGTGGAGGGAAGAACAGAGCTGAAGGGATAGAAAGCTAGATAGAAAAATGACAATGCAATCACACCAAAACTCCACTCACAGACAGTATAGTCACTTCTTCCACTGACTGAGGACGACCCCCTGCCTTGTGCTGAGCTTGATGCAGGGTGCTAGGGCCCATCTCTAACCTCATGGAGCTGATCCTTAGCAAGACAGAAAACTAAGCACACCATTTAGGTGAATAGCAGACAATCTCAAAAGCTTGCAAGCAGCCATAGGAGGCATTAATTATTCGTCTTTTACTCATCCCGGGCAAGATGAAGAAACTCCAAAAGCTCTGGTGGCTTCGTGGTAAAGAGCTGCACGGCCAACCCCGAGGCATGTGGTTCTATTCCCCCAGGTGTTCTGTGGAAGTTGGGCAATCTCCTCCTATGTGATTTACTGCCTCTGAAAACCTGCTGGAGGTCAGCTATGAGTTGGTTCTGGCTTAATGGTAAAATTTTAACCCAAGGGTCCATATGGAAATGACTCCCTCCACAGAAACGCAGAGCTCTGTGGGGTGAGGCCCAGTAACTCCTCTCTCAACAGAGGCAATGCATGATGCCCACAGCCTGCAGGCATTTGGTTCCTGCCTTTCACCTTGCATTAACTTCTCTCTTCTACGTATTTATTCTCAGTATATGCACAGCTGTCCACTTAGTATAATCTTGGAAGAAACTAGATGCAAACTTAGATGGGACCCAGCCACAAGGACAGGAGCCTGACTTGGGAGGACCAAGGCTGGTGACAATGGCGACTGTGCTACTCATCCTCATCCTGCTTCCTTCTAAGTAATAAACACCATCACAAGAGTCTGGTCTGTGCTCTGCTGTGCATGGTCCTTCATAAAGAACCTGTGAGAAGAGTGACACTGCACAGATTACAGTCACCTGTATGACCTTGTCAATGGCATCATACCTGAACACTACCCCAGCTCTGTGTCATACACATGTAAAACGATCAACACAAGAACCCAAGGAAGACTTGTACAGCCCCAGAAGCACACTGGCAGCAAACACCACGAACGAGGCCTTAGGATACCGAGCTGCTCAAGGGCCCGGTGACCATAAATTCATGACTATTATTCCAAATCATAAGTGCTTAGATACTTGCTTCTGTTTTCTTTTAAATAAAGGATATTCAAAAGAAACAAAATTCGTGGCTATAGTTTAATGTAAAATATGATGGAAAATGTTTGAAGAAGTGTTTTAGAATGCCCGTCTTGCTCTCCTGGAGGGAATGGCCTTTGGGTTAGCAGTGCAATTCTCTAATGGACTATGGCCACCAAAGCTTTTTAATTAATAGATACCTAAATTAAAGTTGTATCTAAGTGATCTAATACTGCCATAACAGAAATACCACAAAGATAACTTGAATAAACAAAGTTTTCCCCCCAAGATTAGGAAGATAAGACGGAAGACCAAATTCAGAGTTCTAGGGGAATGGTCCCTCCCTGCTATCTCTGAGTAAGGTCCTTATTTCTTTAAAGCTACTGAACTTGGGTGATCTCAAAGAGTCTTGCTATCTATTTTACCACATCTATCTCCTTTATTTGCTCTCTAATCTTTAATATTCTCAAAAGATTAAGACATACGCTGTACTAATCATGTCTCATTAAAACAGTAATAATAACTCATTACCAAATGGGATTATAACCATAGGAACAGGACTTTATTATACATCTCCTTTTTTGGGAGAGACACACAATTCAATTTGTAACAGATTAAAAAATGTAAAAACAATAAAGAAGCTTCAATTTCATAAATTCAGGTCTGCATTTTCTCTTCTCCACCATAAATCCATTTCTTCAGTGAACTCTTGACCAACTTCTTTGATCTCTTCATTTTACATGGTTTTACTTTTTAAGTCAAATCTGTTTAGTGCTTTCTCTAAAAACTGTTTAAAATACAAGGTACATGAGCAAAATACAATGTATATAAATGATTACATGCAAACTAAAAAAAAAATAAATCAAAAAGCAAATGTTATTTCCTTTTAATTTCATGAGGAAGAAAATATACTTCTCCTTCTCCCTCAATGACACCTGTGACTATTAAAAGGTTGTTACTTTTGGGTATCAATCTGACTACAACTCCCAGCAATGCTGTGAACAACAGACCAAAACATTTATCATGCACTATTTTCCTAATCCAAGCATCACTTCCTTGATCTTCCTTAACACCGTTTCTCTGTCAGTTTTGCGCAGTATTTGAAATACTAGCAGGCTCATTCACAGTGCACAGGATTCAGCGGAACGTCCAGATTAAAACAGATTAAGATGCAGGACGGGCTATCTACTTCTGAAACAAGTCCTCAAAAATCTCTAAGAATTTTATCTACAACCAGGAGAGAATAAAATAGATGAATGGGACCTCCTAAGAATAAAATCCCTATGCACATCCAAAACTTCTCCAACAGGGTAAAAAAGGAAGCCACAGACCAGGAAAAAATATTTGGTAATGGCATGTCAGACTTTTATCTAGAATTTATAAAACAATTGATCACCACAAGATAAAGGTAAATAGCCCAAATGAAAAATGGGCACAGGATATGAACAGACATGTCATCAAAAAAGACATTCAGATGGTGAACACACACATGAAATGTTCAAAATCCCTACCTCTAAGAGAGATGCAAATCAAAACAACGATGAGATATCATATTAAACAGAACAGCAAACAACAAAATGCTGACAAGGTTGTGGAAAGACTGGAACCCTTATTCACTGTTGGTGGGAGTGTAAAATGGTACTGCCAGTATGAAGGCTGTATGGCACTTGCTCAAAAAGTTGCAAATAGAAATACCATTTCATACAGCAATTCCACTACTGGGAATTTACCCTAAAGAAACCATAACTGCCACCCAAGCAGATATATGCTCACTCATGTTTACTGTGGCTTTGTTCACAAGAGCAAGGAGTTGGAAACAACCCAAGTGCCCATCAACAAACAAATGGATAGAGGAGCTGTGGTATATTCACACGATGGAATACTATGCTGCTTTGAAAAACAAAGAACTCATGAAATATTATACAAAATGGGTGACCCCGAAGACATTACACAGAGTGAAATATCTCAGTCACAAAAGGACAATTACTGCATAGTGCCAGTACTGTAAAACAGGACTGACATCGGGATTGGGAGGAGACCGAGAAAGATGGGATAAATTATGTATACTGCATTGATGAGGGAGAGAACTGTTTAAAAGGAATACATGATTAAGTATTATTTTCACGACAGGAGTCCAGAACGAAAGCTGCATAGTGGATTGGACTTGGGGGGAGGGACTGTTTTAACAGTGAAGTAATTTTTCTTTTCCTTTTCAAAGAGAAGAGTGTTTTGGGGGGAGGGGTGGGCAGGGAGAAAAGTGCAACAATGAATGAATGGAAATCCAAAGTCTCTGTAAACTTTCACTAAAATTAATAAGGGCAGGCACAGGAGGGGAAGGCCCTCTATGAGGTGGACTGATTCAGTGACTGGGGTAATCGGGATGGGTGTGTGGGAGACGGTGAGTTTGGCACAGGACAGCACAGAGTTTAGGGCTGTTGTACATAGGGTTGTTATGAGTTGCAAGCAACTCGACTGCACATAACAATAATAAAATATCTTTAAGGTTGGGGTTTTTTTTGTTATTATTTTGTGTGTGTATGTACCATCAAATCAGATCTGACTGGTACAGGAGGAGATCGCCCCTCCTCCAGCAGAGCATCTGGTGGATTTGAACCATGTACCTCTGGGATTGCAGTGCAGCTTCTTGCCTCTAGGCCACCAGAGCTCCCTAAGAATCTTAAGGAACAATGGAAGAAATACATAAAACTTCGTTGGCTGAAAATATACACAGTAAAATATACAGGTCCCAAATTGCTTTCTATAGATTGCACCATATTATGTTCCTACCAGCAGTGTACGAGAACTCCAACTTCTCATACCTTGGACAGCACAGCATGTGTTGTTTATAGTGCTCCTGAAATCCGCTATTGTTGCCGGGGTGATGTAGTAGCTCACTGTTGTTTCAAAGAGCATCTCTCTAATAATTCATTATCTTGAACTTTTCTTCATGTGTCTGTCAGTCATCTCAATGTGGTCTCTGGTAAAGTCTCTTTGCATGTTCTCTGCCTATTCTGTAATAGTGCTTTTCTTCTGCTGCTTTGTAGAGATTTCCACAAATTTCAGAGGTGATTCTTTTGTCAGAGATGTCATGACTTGAGTAGCTTTCTGAGTTTATAATTTCTCTTTTCACTTAAAGAGTCTTTTTATGCATATAAGGACTTAATTTTCAGGTCTCCACT